GTATTTTTTCGATTAATTCCCCGGGGGAATTATTTTTTCAATCCTTCCTTGACATGGGGAATTAATCGAAAGAGGGGAATTAATCGAGTTTTAGCATTTGAACGTGCAGTAGGGTATTTGGGGTGGGGAATTATTGTTTCAACCCCAACATTAGCATGGGGAATTAATCGAGAGGGGGAATTATTCGAGGGAGGGGAATTAATCGAGAAAATACGGTATTTAAAAAATTAATTTAAAAAATATAGGAATTAAAAAAAATAAAAATTTATTTTAAGATTTGTATAATATGACAGACAGGTGTAATGTAAATATTTAAAAACGGAAAGGATATTTAAATAAAATAAAAATAATATTTAGGAAATTATTTTAAAAAATAAAACTTTAATTGGGTTGTTCAGAACCAACCGAGAATTTCAGTAAGTAAAATAGAATTTAAAAAATTATTGATCTCACAAAAAAAATAAAAAAAATTTTCTTTTAAAAAATATTTAATTTTCTTGGATTTAAATTTAAAAAATAAAATTTGTTATCTAAGTATTTTATTTAAAAAAAAATATATTTAAATTAATTTAAAATTATTTAAAATAAACTTTAAAAATTATTATAAAAATAAAAGAAAGAGAAAAACATTAATTTATTTATTTCTCTTCTCAATTTACACAAATTTTGTCTTTTAACGCGTGCGCAATATATGTATATCCCCTTGTAATATTACTACATTTACATTGATATATAATCCTTTGTCACCACACATTTTATTTTTAAATCTCTTAAAAGCAAAACTGTTTCCACAGCAATTTTTAGGCAATAAAAAAAGAAGGAAAAATATGTGGATAAAAAATAAGGAAAAATATTTTTTTAATAAAAATTAAATTTTAAATAATTTAAAATTAAAAAAAATATTTAAAAATTAAATAACAATAAACAACAATAGACAACAAAAACTAAATAAAAACAATTAACACACACAACAAAAACAATAATTAAAAATAATATACTTATATTTAATAAAACTCAAAACCCACCACTATAATTATTGCCAGCCTTTTCAATCAACAATTGTTTATATTGTTGTCGATTAAAGGCAGAATCTGTAGATGTTGGGGATACAATTAAATCGGCTTCAACTCCCCATTTGTTCTTTTTTGCTCGGAGGAAGAAACCCTTTGGATTGAAAAAATATTTTTTTAATTATAAATTAGCTAAGCTTTTAATTATGAAATAAAAGAGAATTCTCATTAAAATTAAAAAAATATATCCAAAAATAATTAGATTTAAATAATCAATCCATAATATTTTAAATAAATTAATAAAATTAAAAAATTCTAACAGAGGAAAAGAGTCTACAGGAACCAGCTTCGTGCAATTCATTTTGCCAAAATTGTTTTTCATAAAATACTCGAGAATGTGACCAATTCATTCGATGAAAGAAAAATTCAATTAATTGAATACTGTGATCCTAATTAATTTGTTATTTAAATATTTTATATTTAAATTAGGGTTCGATCCCCGTCCCCAAAGAAGAGATTTCCTCGGAGACGGGGGAGGTCTCCCCCCAGAGCCCCCATTCCCCGTCCCCGCGGTTCGAATTCCCCGCAACCTCCATTCCCCGTAAGCCCAGCCCCCGCCCCGTAATATCGAATCAGAATTTAAATTACTTGAAGTGGTCCAAATTGTGTTACTAAAGTTGTGTTTTTCTCTTCTTTAAAAAATTCGCTAGAAAAATAGATTTTTAAATAAATTAATATATTTTAGGTAAAAACCTAGAATGTGAATTTGTAATTATGGGAATTTTTTTGTAGCTAAGAATTCTCATAATTGTAGCAACTAAATAATCACAAGCAGGACCAAAAGCAACATTAATCTTTAAAAAATATTTGAAAATATTTTGTCTTTTCTTCCCCAAAATTTACCCCTTTATTATCATTCCATTGCAAAGCTTCTAATACAGCCCAAGCTGCATGACGTTGCGCATGGCATTGAAGGATAGACTTTGTTTGGCCTATAACTAGCCATTTTGGGTTATTTGTCCATTTTAATAAAAAACGGAAATAAGCATCCTCAATGGCCAAATCTTTGATTTTTTATGTTTAATTTTTAAATTTATTAGTTTACCAATTATAGGGGCAACAGAATGCATTGTAGCTAAATGCCTTTCAATTACTTCTAAAATTATTTTAAATTTAAAAAATAATTTAAAAATATATTTTAAAAACCATCTTTTCTTTCATTGTTTTCAATTTCTACATCATTAGGAAGGAAAATAGCCCCAAAAAGAGGAAATAAAGAATTATCGTTGTTACTTTCAACAAAAATTATTTTGTTGATAATTAATAGAAATAATAATATAAACATTATTTTTCATTGCAAAAATAAAGAAGAGAAAATATTAAAAATATTTTTTAGAAAAAAAATTGGAAAAAAAATTTTTAAGTTGTTTTTTAGTTAAAAATTTATAGAAGGATTATATACGCAAATTACTAAAAAAATAAAAAAATAATAATTTTAAAAACAATTAAAGTACATCATTTTTATTTAATATTTTTTGTTCATTTTCTTTCATACCTAGTGTTTTTTAAAGAAAATTGTAAAAAATATTTTTTGAATTAAAAACACAGCTAGTTTACTATAATATTTTAAAAAACTTTTTTTTTTAATTTTGTAATTTTTAATTAATAAAAATAAAATTTAAAATTATTTTTTTAAAGTAAATAAATAATTATTTAAAATAAACAATAATAATCAATATAAATAATAAAATCAAAATCAAAGTTAATGAAGAACTTTTAAAAACAAAAAATATTAGTTTGATTAATAGAAATTAATACAAAAAAATTTATTTTTAACATTTTTATCAGTAAAAGATTTATGTATAAGTAATTAATAAAATTAAGTCTAATTTAAAAAAATAAATTCAAACTCTGTCTTTTGAATTTAAACCCTAATATCCAGCAATGCATGTATTTTTTGTACAATCTGGTTCATATTTCCCCAATTTTTCAGGTTTATAGAACTCGGGAAAATTGGACAGGGTCTACAAATGAATCTGAATATTATGTGTCCTTTAATTATTTGTAAGCAAAAAAGCCTAGAGAAGAAAAGTAAAATGCTGGCAGAAATTGCAATACTACATAGTTTAAATTTGTAGGCAATTTTTAATTTAAATAATTTAAAATATGTATTTTAGAAAATAATATTTTCTGAAAAATTAGAAGGAAAAAACAACAAAAATAAATATTTTTTTTGAAACATCCATTCAATTCCTCAAAACAAAAATATTTTTTATTAAAAATATTGCCAAATTTTTTACTTTTAAATCAAACATCCTTTGGGGGTTATAAGAGACTTTTACTTATAAAAAATATAAAATGAGAGAAAAGTTAAAGCATTTATTAATAAATTGACAAGGAAATGAATGAATTGGAAGGAGAAAAAATATTTTGTAAAAGACATCAAAAACAGCTTGTTGGGATAATAAGCCTTTGGAAATAAACAAAGTTGGCAGAAGAAGAAAAGAGATAATTGCTTTGAGGAAGGGAAGGAAGGTACTTTAATAAATTTTAGTTTTTATTTGCAGCTTTTTAATAGTTGGGCGAGGAAAGAAAAAAAGAAGGTAAGATTATTTAGGTAATTAATAAATGTTTAAAGAATTAATTTAAATTATTAATTAAACATTGTTAATAATTATTTAAAATTTCCTTTATTTTGATATGTAGAATAATTGTCAGAATATTTTTATAGAAAATTTGATTTTAAAATATTCGTATACAGGGAAAATGAATTGGAAGGGGAGAAAAAATATTTTTTTTGTAAAAGAATATAATTTAAATTAATTAAAAAATTTTAATATTATTTTAAGTTTTAATATGATAAACCAAGAAATATAAAAAATAAATTTACATTTATTAATTTATTTAAATGATGTATTCAAAATTAAATCCATAATTATTTTTTTAAGTTTTAATATTATGTTTAGTAGACTATTCGCTATTAATCTAAAGCTTTAAATTTAAAAAAATATTTTAAGCAAATAATTTAAAAGGAATTAAAAGAAGAATAATTGAAGAGATAAACCAAGAAATAAAAAAATTAAAACATTTAATGTTTGTAAAATTAAAAAAAAATTTTTAATTTAAATTTTAAAATGGAAAATAAAAAATTAAAAAAAACAATCAAATAGAAAAGAAACAATAAAAAAGAATGTGTTACATAAATAATTAATGTAATTTAAAATATAATTTGGACCAACTCTAAATTTTATTTTATTATTAGTTGTTTTTGTTTAATATTTCAATTTTCGGGTTTTTCTGTTTATTATCTATCCACAGTTGTAACATCCTATGGGAATGGGAAATGAGTATATATAGAAAAAGGAAAAGGTTCGAGAAGCGGCTTCCTTTATTGAAGCAGAAAATTTATTACTTTCTCCTTTTGCACAAAGTTTGCCAACCAACAAAAGACAGAATAAAAAGAGTGGATTGAATTGGTGGAAGAATATAGCCTCGAGACTTTTTTCTTTGATTATAAGCCGCAATTGAGAACAAAAATAAATAAAAGTTATACCAAAAAAGTTGAAATATTTTAAAGAAAAAATTCACCGAAAGAATATGCATTAAAAGGATAAAAATAAGGAATTTAGGAATTTATTCATAATATTTAAATTTAGAGTTGTCGAGCCGACCTCCGAGCTTGGTTTTTTCTAGATTCGGTTCGTTTTCGAGCTGGAAAGCCTCGGCTCGCTCGATCTTTCGAGTTTCGGTTCGAGCGAGCTGGGAACCCTATTTAAATTGTTATTTGTATATTAGATTAAAAATAGTTTTTACAAATTCAAAACTCAATGATGAGTTGCCTATTTATTTGCAAAAATAAACATTTTAAATCAACAACAAAAAAGATAAAATTTGTACAAGATAAACTACTAAATTATTCTTAAAAAAATAACAAAGAAAAGCCTATTTGCTTGCTTTTTATAAATTAATATTCTAATTTATATTTATTCTCTAAAGATGTTTTTGTTGGCGGCATTCTTCTGAAATTGGCACCGTCTGTTCCTTTTCTTCTATTTGTATTATTTTGTTCTCTTCCTGTCTAACAAGCATTATATGGTTTGCATATTCACATTTCTCACATAATTGTGGAGAACAATTCAAATTTAATTTAAATGTTGCATTCTCTTTTTCTTCTTCTTTTTTATTTTGTAAAATTCTTTCCAAATTTTTTTCCTCTTTTCTTTCAATTCGATTATTTATTTTTCTACAACGTCCACACCAATCTAAGCCTTCGGCAAATGGATCAAGTAATTGAATATTTAAATTTAATGAATTATTCTCCTCTGATAGACGAACAAAAGAAGAACCAAAAAGTTCAACAATTTCTGAATATAATTCACCTTCTTTAAATACTTTTTGTAATGGGGCCAATTGTTCTGTATTTCCACTAATTAATAAACCAAAATGCCGAATGCCAACTTCCTTTATTCGACGTGTTTTTAATTTTGGATGTTCTCCCTTAAAATGAGAAAATTTTTAATTAAAAAGAAGGTCGTTTAATAAAAAAAATTAAGTTTGGGAAAAAAATTATATAAAAAAGTAGAATCTTCATTCAAATTTCATTCAATAGCAAATCTTCATTCATTTTCACAAAGAGACATTTTGAATTGTATGTGAAAATTTTGTAGTTTTTTCCCATCGTGTAGAGAATGGTCGATAACCTATTGCCAATTCCGGCTTTCCCCCTGACCCTCATCTCAGCAGCTCCAAAAGTCGAAAACTTTGAACCCCTATAACTTTTCGAAATGAGGGTCAAGAGAAAAAAGCCGGAAATTGGCAATAGGTTATCGACTATGCTCCACACGATGGTACAAAAAAAAACTACAGAATTTTAACATACTGTTAAAAATGTCTCTTTGTCAGTTAAAGTATTTGTTATTTTTTAATATAATTTCACCTTATTAATTAAATCAACAGCTTCATTCCGTAATTCTTGAACAATCCTCATTAATATATAAAGATCTTCTTTTTCACCTATTGCTTCATTTAATTGACTTTCATCTTCTTCAACGTCAAAAACTCCTCGGAATGCCAAGGCAACGTTAGTATTAAATTGTGGGTGATATGTAAAAAATTCGGCAGTCAAATGTGGCAAAATTGGAGCTATTAATTGGACAAGTGTATACCCCAATTTGTTTAATGTAAAAAGAACTGATTGATGTGATGTTGAATTAATTGGTTCACAATAAAGACGATCACGAACAGATGTCTAATTAATTAATTTAAAAAGTATTTTAAAATTCTAAAAAAACTAACAATATAGGAAGAGGCATCTTTTTGTGTAAATTGGAAATATTCTTCCATTAATTTTCCAAATCTGTAATCATTATACCGAGAACGAATCAACTTGGAAAAATCATTTAAACGAGCCAGCATATACTAAAAATTAAAATTAATTAAAAAATATATCACTTAATTATGTACCCTATCCAAAGTTTGTAGTTGAGGTATATCCATATTTTCATTTTTAATATTTCCTCCAAATCCATTATAATTTAAATTTAACTTCTCGGCAGTTTCCATAGTTCCGAGTACAAAACGTAAAATTAGCCTAATTCCTTTTAATCGACTCTGTAGATCCTTAACCATGCTTGGACCAATTCGAATTTCGCCGGGAGAATCGGCTCCCATCCAGGCTGCCCAATAACGAAGACCATCCGCGCCTACTGGATCACTAGCTAATGTGCCATCGGTAATCTTTATATCAATTAAAACAATTAAATTATAGTTTAATAACTAACAGCTTCAGGCAAAACTACATTTCCTTTAGATTTTGACATTTTAGATCCTTTATCATCAACAGCCATCCCATGAATAAGAATTTGTTTAAAAGGGGCAGAATCCTACAAAAATATTTAAAATAATAAATAATAAAAAGCCACTTGAAGGGCCATAGAAGTAATAAGAGATGATTGAAACCATCCACGAAATTGGTCCTTGCCTTCAATTACTACATCAGCAATTTTTCTAGGCGTTAAAGTATGCCAAGTAAGTCCACTATCCATCCATACATCCATTACTTCTGTTCTTTTTTCCAAATTTTTGAGGGAGGAAAAAGGAAACCCCTTTAAAGAAGCAAAAATATTTTTTGTTAGAAAAATAACTTAAATAAAAAGACTTTCTCTACCTTCAATCTAGAAAGTTCTTCAAGTGTTAAAGTCCACCACAAATCCGTATTTGCCTTACTTTTAACTAATTGAGCATATGAACGAATAAATTCCCCACTTGTTTTTACATCCTCAACATCCCCACTCATTTCTTGTCGAGTAATTGCTGGAATAGGAACACCCCAAGCACGTTGTCGAGAAATACACCATTCATTTCGACGAGTAAAAAATGTAGAGAATGCAGCTCTGAGATCTTTTTTTGATAATTTAAACACTGTCTATATAAAATATTCCTACCAACATTTCCAGCAGAAACATTAATTCCAGGATAAGAATAAATTGCTTCTTCACATCGTTTATTTAAAGAAAAGACATCCATAAACCATTGCGGGCAACTTCGAATAATAACTGGCTAAATTTTAAAGAGAATAATCAGTCACTAAATATAACTCCCTCACTTTATTATAACGCCAATCATAAGGATAAGAATGAGTATATTCGTATTCAAACAGAACGTCTTTCCTCAAAAATAAATTAAAATAATCTAAAACTTCAAATCCTCACTTTAATTTCTCTAAAGCAGCTCGAGTTCCTTCTCCTAACACTTCTTTACCTTCAAAATCATAGCCCATATGACGAGTATATCTCCCCTTTTCGTCAACAAAACATTCAATGACATCACGTTGAGAGCCAATCTTTATAACAAAAATTTATTTTAAAAATAAAAAAAATAATTTCTCTAGCCTTATAATCATCATGTCCATGTGCATAAGATAAATGTACTAAACCAGTACCCATATTTGCAGTTACAAAATCTGCCGCAATAATTTCTTGAGCCAAATCATTATACATTGCATTTTTATAAAAATATCGACGATCTCTCGCCAATTCTTCGCCTTTAATTGTACCAACCAATTGAAATTCTTTTTTAAGAAGTTGAGAAATATTAGAGATTAAATCTTTAGCAACAATAAATATTTTTCGAGTAGCAGTTTTTCTAAAAAAATAAAAATATAAACAAAGGAAATATTTTAAACCGAGTTTCTTCAGGTGATTCAATTGCAGCATATTCTATATCAGGGTGTATAGCAATTGCATTATTCATTGGAATGGTCATAAAAAAGAAAAGAAGATATTAAAAACAATTAAAAGAAAAATTTTTTTAACTACCATGGTGTTGTTGTCCAAACCATCAAAAATAATTGTGTTGATTTTTTACTAGTGGGTGCAATTGCTGATTTATTTTTCCATTGTAATTTGTCAATATCAAAATTAATTAACTAAAAATTAAAATCGAACAATTTAAAAGGGAAAGAATTTACTCTAAATCCAAAGAAAACAGCCGTGCTTTTATGCTGATCGTTATGTTCAAGTTCTGATTCTGCTAGAGCAGAGCACGAATAAGGAGACCGAAAAAAGAGAAAAAGAAAATTATTTAAAAACAAAATTTAAAAACAAATTTTTAAATGCTAGAAACTCACCAATAAACAGGTCCCATTTTCCTATAAATTAATCCTCGATCATAAAGTTGAGCAAATATTTCCAATTGTTTAGAGACATAATTAGGGCTCATTGTAATGTAAGGATCAGAAAAATCAGCTGAACAACCCCAGCGAAGAAATGAAGTCATTTGAGATTGGATAGAATTCTCAGCTATTTGACGGCAATTTGCACGTAAAAGAAGTGTATCTTGCTCCTTCAAAATTAATTATTTAAATTAAAAATTAATTAAAAACCTTATTGTTCGTTTCCTGTTTTAAAACTTTTAATTCAATTGGCAATCCATGACAGTCCCAACCAGCTTTAAAGTCAACATTATAGCCCAACTGGACTCTACTTTTGAGGACAAAATCCTTCAACAATTTATTTATTGCATGCCCAACATGAACATTCCCATTTGCATACGGCGGTCCATCAAGTATAGTAAATCTAATTTAAAATGTAGTTAATATTGAAGTAAAACAATTCAAAATAAAAATACTTTTAATTAATTTTGTCTAAATTAAAAAAAATAAATTTCCTTACTCCTTTAAAGGTGCATTTGTTTTACGGGTCTTCTGCCACTGATAAAATCCAGAAAAATCAGCAATAGCATTGAGATGCGAGTCTAAACGAGAACGCTCCGAATTTTTAGGCAAAACAGGAAATTCAGTTTTTGGAAGAAAAACAGGTAAATTTTTGAATTTCATCCTGAAATAAAATAATTATTTCTGTTAGAGACAAATGCGTGAATAACCTACAAAAAAATTTTTTAAATATGTACATATATTAAATTATTTATGGAAATCTTCCCAAATCACAAACAAAATTCAATTAAGAAAAACAATTTTTAATTTAGAATTTTCTTTAAATAAAAATAAAATTTATTTTATATATTTTATCTTTCTTCCCTATCATTTTGATATTCATCCTCATCTCCTTCATCCTCTTCCATTCTCATTTTTTTTCGTTCTTCAAGAATTCGTTCTTTTCTATGTTTTTGCTTTTCTTTTTTCTCTTTTTGATATTCATCCCAATGTTTACGTCTCATCAATTGTTGAGTAATTGCCCGAAGTTTTTTCTCATTATCAGCTTCTAAACGTTCACCCTTTTCTCTCAATTCATCAATTCTGTTTTTTAATTCATCAATATTGTGTTTATGATATTCAAAATTTTGAAGATCCTCTTTTTGTTGGTCATTTTCTTTCTTATTTTGATGTAATTTGTCCATTGTTGTATGAATATGTTTTTTCCCATCAAAAATTATAACAGGCGTATCATCCCTTTTAGATCCGCCTAGGCCAGAAATCTGCCAATAATTGACTAATTTAGGTGCAAAAGTGTGACGATAAAATTCTTCGCCTCTTTCAGCATACCAACTACAAAAACAAACAAAAATAAATTTTAAACAATTTATCAAAAAAAAACAAACATTCCAAAAAGAAGTCCACCCAAATGAGCAGCATTGTCAAAAAGTCTAAATTTTGTAAATATTCCAACAAAAAGCATTGCAGTTTCAAATAAAAGAATTCCAATTAGAGCATCTAAAAAATTTAAATTATTTTTTAAATAAAATAAAACAAACTTCCAGCAGAAAATTGAAATTGTGGAAGGAATATAATACTAATTTTAGCATCTGATGCCACGATACAAACATAACCAATTAAAGCAGCAATAGCTCCACTTGCCCCAAGAGATGGCAATAAAGATTTTGTAAAAGATTTAACACAGAGTGAAACAAGTGAAGCAAAAACCCCGCCAGTCAAATAAAAAGCTAGAAACTGAAAAGTTAAAAAAATTATGGTAAAATTTTGAGTAAAAGTTGTGATTTGTTAAATTAAAATAAAAATAAAAAGGAAAAATGATTATGTAACCACCACCTTAAGCCTAGGTTTATTCGAAAAGATTTTCTATTAAAAAATAAATTTATAACCGTACCTCCTCCTTTCCCAAAAATTGAAGTGTTGCATTTGAAAAACTGTTCAGTACGTACATATTCGCAAACATATGTAGAGAATGGCTATGTGAAAACACACTCAATAACATTGGTAAACAAAGGAGTTCTACAAATTAAAAAATTTATTTTAAAAAAATTTAAAAATATACTTGATGCAAATCCATTTGTAAAGAAAAGGCTCATAAATTTACTGAATTTGGAAAAATGCCAAAGAGAAAGTACTGCAACATTTGTTGCTATTAGAGTAGCAATTAAAGGATCCACTCGTTTCATAGATTCTTGTCGTCCAAAATATATTCGTTTAAATTCTATCAAAACATCATTGAGATCTTGGATTGACTTTTTGGTATTTTTGTATTCAGATATAGAAGCAATTGAAAAAGTTGTGAGGCCAGTCTGAATAAAAAAATGAATTGATAATATTTAAAAGAAAATCCAACCGCAGCTGTAAATGCTACTGCTCTCCATAAATGGCTTTTTGGCCTAAGTTCAGCTCCTTCTTGCGTATAATTTTGCTTTGCCGCCATTTTTGTGTCGATAGCATTTTTTAATCGATTTCCAAGTCTGCCACTCTGAAACCTTGCAAATTTACTAGTTGAAGATGATAAAAGACAACGTCCGAACTTAAAGGTTAAAAAATAGTTAAATAAAAATTCGCACAAAACAAGCTGGATAAAATAATTTTTAATTAAACAAAACAAACCTTCATTCTGAACGGAATACTCATCAAAATTCTCATTTGCGACATCTCTGAAAGGTTAAAATAAATATAAATTTAACACAAACAAAATAATAAACGACAAAACGTTAGCAAATAAAAAACTAAAAAAAATTCTTTCAAAAATATATTTATCACAAAAATAACAACAAAAAAAACAATTTTAATTTACTTTAAAAGAATTTAAAGAACAAATTCCCAATTCATTTTGTAAATCGACAATATTTTGTTCAAATCTATTCTCCCAATCAATTGCCAATAAAAAACGTCCCTCCAAAGCTTGTTCCAAAATCCAAGGTAAATTTCTTTCCAATAATTGTTTTCTATGTCTAAAATAAATTTTCAAAATTATTTTAGAAATTTCTCATTTAAAATCTATACTTTGGGCCAAGCCGTAAACCACCAAAAATAGCTGCAGCAATACACATTGGAAGCCCTACAAAGTAATTTTTATTCAAAAAAACATCACAAAATTTACCCAATTGAATAGCTTCAAAATATTTGACAGTGACCTAAAGTTAAACAAAATATTTTGAAAAAAATTCTAGTAATTAAATAAACCTCTCCCAGCATAGTAGTCGGCATTTGAAGTAAAACATGGTTAAAGTCGTGAGTTTCTCGATAACTAAAAATTAATTTTAAATTCTTTTAAAATAATTTACAAACCGTTGCATAACATAAACAAGTTCAAGATCATCAACAAATTGAACGGGTGGCCTAGCATCAGGACTTGTATGTAATTTAGTTAAAAACCTCAAATATTCCCTTCCAAGGGTCCCATCAGGTAATTCAGCTAAATATTCTCTAGAAAATGTTTTTTCAGTAATTCTTGGTTGCTTCTTCAAAAGTTCAGAACCAGTCACATCGATGGCCATTCTGTCTCGGATATGAATAAGTAAAGATTTTGGTACCTTAAAAAAGTTTTTATCCACAAAAAAATATTCAAAAAAATCATAAAAAAGAAATTTTTTCACCGTTGTCTCCCCCATTGTTGCAATCATATCTCCACGTTCCGGACTAACAATAGACATTATGGCGGAGCCAAAACCCAATAGAGATCGTTGTAGAAGGGACATATCAATTTGTTCTGAAATACTTGTGGAAGGAGAATTCGAATTGTTAACTAAATAAAAAAATATATAAAAATATAAAACCCAATAAAAACCTAATTTTCCGTCTCCCCTCCCTCCATTTCCAAAATCCCTTTCTGAACTTTCTCCCCACGTTGTGCCAAAATTTCTTCGATGTTTTTCTTGCCATCTAAATCGCTGAACCAGCCCAAATTGTCTGCAATTATGTGATGATTTAAACAAGAATCGCATTTGACTATAACAATTCCCTGTTCGTAAGAAGTTTTTGAAAATTGTTTTGGACCCTAAGATATTTTTAAAAATAATTATTAAATTAAATTAAACCTGTCTTGAATTGCAAACTTTGCATGTATACAAAATAGCCAATTTTTTAGGTATTGAAATATATTCTTGTTTGGTAATTTTATTTTTGTTGTCTTCAGAAAGTTGAAAATTACTATTTTTAATTAAAAAAAAATAATTTTAGGTATTTTAATCAAAAATTACCTTAAATATAAATTCCTTTGAATTGATAAAAAACGATTATAATGAAAAGAAACTTGAGGTTTAAATCTGATATTTCGAAGTAATGAAGTTTTTAATAAATTAAAAGAATTCATATAAAGCTACAATTTTAAAATTAATTTTAAACTTTAATTTGAAGAAATCAAAGATAAAATGAAATCCGAAAGAATTAGGAAATCCGCACTGTAACGGCTTAATCTCTTTCATATTTGTTTACCTTTCAGTGCCACATGTTTGAGTATTTCCGAATTATACGGTAGAAAGAGAGAGAGAGAAATTAATTTATCATTAACAAAAAAATTTTTAAAATCTTTTAAAAAATAAAAACAAAAATTTCTGTATTTGCTGAAAATTTGGTTATAAAATTCGAGAGTCAATTAAACATACTAGGTTAATACAAGAGCAACTAGGTGTAACGGGATAAATTTCTATACAATAGCTACAAGGATTCTGATTTATCGAGAAAAACCGTATCTAAGCGAGAAAAACCGTAAAAACCAGAAAGAAAATTAAAAATCGGTCAGTTTTTGTGGATAAATTTCTATACAATAGCTACAAGGATTCTGATTTTTGAGGTATTTTTAACAAAAAAAGTATACAAAAATATATAATTTACCCATTAATATTTTCCTTTATAATATTTTTCCTTTCCAGTTAGCCACTTTTCTTCTGACTTTTTTTTCAAACTTTGGCATCCCAAAGGACCAGGCATTATTTGGTTTTTCCTCTCCATAAATATTTTTCTGCGTCAAGAGGCACAATAAAAACGAATAAATGCTTTTATGGTTTTGATAAATCTGGCTAACCGCTTTTAAGTCAAAAAAGAATAAAAGTGCTGCAATTTCTTACAGCATTTTTGCCTTTAATTCAGCATTTCCCACGGCTTTGATATTTTATTTTTCTGCATTTATTTGTATTTTATTTGAATTAATATAGCTGACTTAAATGGAAAAAAAATTATTCATTATTATTTTTATATAAAATATTAATTTGAGATTTTTATAAAAATTTGTAAAAAAATTGCCCTCCCTCAATTAATTACCCCACTTCCATTAATTACCCCATCCAGCGATATATTGAAACAATAATTACCTCCGAACAAAGCCCTAAAACACGTTTAAATTTCAAACCTCATATAATTACCCTCCCTCGATTAATTACTCCCTCCAGCGAAATGTCGAAACAATAATTACCCAGGGTAGTTATTAAAGGATAAATGGTATATTTTTTATAATAATTAATTTATTACTTTTTTCTATTAAAATACAAACCACACAAATATTACTAATCTATTTAATATCTTCATTTTCACCTCATTTTCAAGTCAATCAATTTCTGTCAAAAAATAATCCTTTTCCATCAATCTTTTACTCTCGACTTTTTAACTAAATCATTAACTGTTGGAGACGGATGGGCTAACTAATATATTAAAAGTATTTTTTGTGATTGAATGAAAATCTTCCAAAATTCTTTAGTTTTTTTTATTACTTTTTTTTGCTTCCAACAAATTATTTTTGGAATTATAAAAATAAAAAATATACTATAATTTTATTTAAATTTTTTACAAAAAAAATTTTTATTCACATATTTTAAAGTTATTAATAATTATATCCTCTACACGTCCTTTATTCACCCTTTATTATTATTTTTTTTTACATTTTTCCCTTTCCGACTTTGTGCCATTTAACTAGTAGTTGCCCTCCCTAATATACTTTTTTTTTCATGCTGAGCTCCCAACGGGATCTCCATGTTTAATTACATATTATTCTCCCAATATTTACTTGATAAAAAAAGGTGTTTTTATTTTTTTGTAAATTACATGTCATTTCCAGAGCTACAAAACTTGGAATTATGAAAGCTCTTTTTTAGTTTCTTGTTTTATTGAAAAATATTATTTTTTAAATTTTTTAAAGAAAAATGCTATGCTGTCTAGTCATCAACAAATATATTTTTTACCTAATTTAATTAATTATTTAATTATTTTATTATTTATTTTAATGTTATTTTCTTTCCAAATTTCTCAAAAAATAATTTTTGTAAATTCTCAACAAAATATTTCATCCTCAAATAATTTTTTATCTTCAACAACAGAAAATTTAATTTTAAACGAAATATTTAATAATAATTTTAAATTAAAAAAAGAACAAAATAAATGGAAAAGATTTAGAAGAAGAAATGAAAAAATAAGAGGAAGGAAACGAAGATTTTTTGGTGTAATAAATTCTGATGATGATGAGGATTATCAGCAACAACAAGTAAATTAAATAATTTTGAATTATTTAATGTTTTGAGCTGAGAGGAATCTTTTTAAAAGTATGTAGTTGGAAATTTTCGGATATCCGGATCCGGTATCCGAACCGAAAATTTCAGGATATATTGCCTTTTTTCGGATCCGGATCTGCCAACCTTAGCATGAAGAGGAGAGGAGGAGAGGGGGATAAATTAAATTCCCATGTTTTAACAAATTTTCTTAAAATTTTTAAGGATCCCAATTTATCCACCAAATCAGAAAAAAGACGGGAAGAGACTGAAACAGAATTGGAAAATGAATTAATGGCCGAATTTGTTCGAGTTTCACTCAAACAAGAAAATGATTTTAATGTTCGATTCCGCAAAAAAACTTTTAGTAGGTTTTCATTTAAATAAAAATATTTCTAAAAAAAATATTTTTTGTTACAAAATAAATTGTTTAAAAATATATTTGAAAAAAAAATAATTTTTATGAAAAAAAATAATAAGAAAATCCAATTATGTTGCCAACATTGGGGAAGGAGATTAATTCTTTTTTTTCTCTCTATGTAATAAAAAGGACAACAATTTCTATTAAAGCTTCAATATTTTTATATTAAAAAAATATTTTAAATAATACATAAATTTTTTCTTAAATAATTCTTCCCTGTTGGAAATTAAAAAAAATTTTTTTTTTAATTTTTTCAAAATTGTAAAGAAATTTTATTCACCTTTTAACAAAGCACTTTTGCCTCCAATTTGTGGAGGAGGCGCATTTAATAATAGCGTGTTTTCGTGCTTTTTCTGTTTAAAGACATTTCTGAAATTGGAGGGGGGAGGGGACTATTTTTATATCTTTTTATAAATATACTATTTATTCATCCAAATGCCCTAGTGTTTACAGGTGTATTGAATAAAAACGATAAAATAAAACTTTTTAATATGCCAATAAATTTATTTTTATTTGAAAAACACGCAAATATTTTTACTTTAATATTATTATGGGATTTTTAAAATCATTTTAATTGGATCTGTAACGTCAAAGGCTATTCATTGAATTTTATTTTAATTTTTTCTTTTTAAGTATAAATATTTTTACGGTTTACAAAAAATAATATTTCTAAATAAATTAAATTTATCTTAAAAATTAATCTCATAATAATAAATTGGAGAGAGAGATATAAATTTTATATAATCTTTAATTTTAGAATTTTATTTTTATTAAACTCTTCAATCTCCTCAATCCTTTCAAAATATATATTTTTATTCCCTTCTTTTTATTCAAAATAGTAGAATTCTTCCCTTTCCTCTTCTTCATTTTAATTTAAGTCTTAAATAATCGGACTTGTTTCTATCCACTTTAAATACTTTTGGTCATCTTCTTTCCCTTCAACAATTTTGGGCACATATTTTCCTTTGCCCAAAAACGTTTTGAGAGAAAGATATTAATCTATTCCCCCCCCCCCCTTCCCCTTCCTTTTTTTAACTTACTCTTGGGCGTTCTTTACTTCTTCAATACCTTTCTTCCTTACTCAAAACGAGAAGATGATTGGTCCACTTTTCTATTTAAAGTAATCTCCCTCTCCTTTTCTTATTTTTTTTAAATTTCCAATTTATTTTTAAAAATTTCATTTCTTTTTATTTAAATTTAAATCTAAATTTAATTATATAAATTTTTATTTTTTTTCTTTTAATTTAAAAATTAAAAAGTAAACAAATAAATTAATGGAAAATTGTTTACTCATTTTGTGTCAAAAAATATTTTTTTAAAGATTATATATTCTTCAATCCTTCTCAATTTCAATATTCTACTTTTTATTTTCATTACAATTTTTAATTATTTTTTTTATTTTTGGCAATTTTCCTTAGAATTTTTTAAAAAGTTTTTTTTTTTTTATTTTTACCTCTCTTATTCTACCACCTGTTTATTCTTCTCAATCGGTCATTTATTTAATAATTCACTTACCACCTTCTTTAACCACAAAAATCCTTCAATTTTTTACATTAATTTATTTTTACTAAGATTAATTACTTTAAAATTATGTTTTTTAGTATATTTTTAATATTAATTAATCATTTAAAAAAAGAATTAATCTTCTCCCAATTATTTTTAAATATTATTTTAAATTCAACAAATTTAAATGAATTTATTTCCTTTAATTAACCTCTTTTAAAATGTTCTACAATTATTTTTTATTATTTATTAAACAAATAATTTATTTAATATTTTTAATTAAAACAAATATTTTTGTTTTTGGTATGTTTAGTAAATTTAAAATAAGAGGGGGAAGGGGTAATTAAAATATTATATTTATTTATCCTCTATTTAATAATTTTTTTCAAATCTTTGGCGAATATTTTCACCCCCAACATTTTCTTTTCAAAATAATTATTTTTTAAATTTTTTTTAATAAATTTATTTTTATAATTAAAGCAATGACACAACCATTTGAATGTTATTCTTGTATGTCTTCCAGTTATCAGGCAAAATGGGGATTTTTGAAAGAAATGTATTTTGCCCCAAAAGTTGCTTATTCATTTAAAGATTATTTTAAAGAAAATAATTTTTAGATGTTTGCCGATGCCTGTGATGCTCCAATTCCTCGAAAAGGCCTTATACCGACTGTTTTATGTGCCTCATTTTGTGTATCAATGTTAGAGCCGAGTGTTGAGGCTGGCTAGTTTTTTTTTGATTAAAATTGTGAAAAAAAAATATTTTTAAAGGTGTTTTTGTTGGTTTTAAATATATTCGTGGGTGTGGGGATTTAATTCTTCGACACGGATTTAATAAAACGGCTATACAAATACACAGATTTGCACAAGTATTTCTCAAAAATAATTTTTAAATATTTTCCCTTCAAAAAAGGTAGATAAATGCCGTCAATTACCCCGCGCCCATTTATTTAATCAGCCAAGGCAATTAGAAGTGGCAGTTACAGGAAATTTACAATTATGTACTTGTTATGGTGAAAGATGTAATGGAGGGTCTTCCTCTGTTTTAAAAAGAGGAAAAAACTTGAAATTTTTAATTTTATTTTCTTTAATTATTTTATTTTTAATTTCTAAATATTTAAGGATTTAATTATTTTTTAAAAATATTTTTGTTGTAATTTTGCCGGTTATCTTTATTTAAATAAATATACATATATAAAGTTATTCATTTTATTAATTAAAGAAAACAATTAATGTTTAGTAGATTATCTGAAAGCTCTGATTTTGGGGATTTATAAAGCTTCTTTTTTTGTCTCTAATTTAAAGGGAAAATATTTAGGCTCGTCTATTTCTGGTCCATAACAATAGTTTATAAAATTTAAAAAGTTATTCTACCAAAAATTCTGAACTTTTACTTTAAAGATCTAAATTATTTCCAAGACAATAATTTAAAAAAAAATTTTAATTTATTTTAAATTATAATTAAATATAATTAAAATGTATTTTTAATATTTTTCTATTTTATTCCTTTAATTATTTTCATTTTCTCGATTTCTTGAAATTAATTGGAAGTTTTTAATTATAGAATTAGTTTCCGGTTGTTTATTATTATTTAAATATTCTTCTTCATTTAAATTACAATTTGAGATTGTTTTATTTTCACAATTTTTTGTTTGTAGCCATTCTCCAATACATTTAAAGCATTTATTTTTAAAAGGAAGAAAATCTTTAATTAAAATATAATTATTTAATTAATTAATTTAAATTAATCCTACTTTTAAATACAAAAATACATTCACGTTTTCTTTGTCTAAATCCTCCTTCATTTTGAATTCTTTTTTTATTATTACAATTAATTTGGCAATTACTCCATTCACTCCAAATACTCCATTCACAACAAGGACCTTTTAATTTATTTAAATTTTAATTAAAGTAAGAGCGAGGTAAAAGTTTAATCCCGGGCAGGCTTCGATCCTGCGACCTCCCGGCAGTTATTGCTAGGCATTTTCGCTCACCGCGTACAGGTGCTCTACCGACTGAGCTACCGGGACGCTACTTTCACTTTCTCGTTTAAAACGCTCACCGCTTAGTGAGCGTTTTAAATGCTAACCAGCTGGATCTTTCTCTTCCTTACATTAATTAATTTAATTACCAGCATCACAAGCTTTTCTTTCAATTAAATCCCCTCCACATTTATTTTCTTCTTCCATTTCTATATTTAATAATTTTTTATCATTCCATTCTTCTCTAAATATTAATTTAGAACTAATTAAAGGTGAACGTCTTCTTTCTATTGCTGAACTTTGAGAAACATAAAAAAATAATATTTTTTAATTAAAAAATATTATTTTCTTTTAAATATTCAAATACCTGCAGTTTTTGAGGAATTAAAGAAGTTGGGTGAATATTATTACCTTTTAATTAGAAATTTTTAAATTAATAATTATTATAGGTACCATCATAATTATTATCAGTAATTTTGTCTTTTAATTGATTATTTAATGTGCTAGATATCCTCTACAAAAAAATATTAAATAAAAATAAATTTTTAAATTTTACTTCAGGTATAGGAAATGTTTCTTCTTCCCCCCTCTCTTCCTCTTCTTTATTTTCTTCTTTAATTTTAAAGGAATTATTTTTATTATTAATTTCAGAATTTTCTTTTTTTAAACATCTTTTAATTATTTTATATTAAAAACATTCATTTTAAAATTAAAACTTTCTCTGACGTTCACAAAATCCTTTTCCACAAGTAACACTACATCCACTCCATTCACTCCACTGATCAAAATACTTAAATAAAATTTATATTAATTAATTTATTTTTAAATTTACATAACAAGCAGTTAATCTATTATTTTGACAAAATTTAAATTCTTTTTCTGCTTTTGTTCCTCCAAAACAGCCAAAACCATTAGGAAGGCATTCCCGAGATCTTTTTTAAAAAAATATGTCCTCCTCTTAATTTTATTTTAATCTAAAATAACCGTGTCTGCTTTCCACGAGCACAATTACCAGAACATTCTGACCTGTTTTTGATTAATAATATTTTTAATTAAAAATAATTTTAATTTCAAAAATTCCAATTCTTTAATATTTTGTCTAAAATCAAGGACTATTTTGTCTTTTATTTACTAATCAAAAAATATTTAATTTATTAACCATTCACTCCATTCTCCCCATTCTGGACATTTATTTAAATTACATTCACTATCTTCTCTTGAAATACCTTCACATTCAATATTTGGATATTCATTATTTAAACATTCTCTTAATTATATTTTAATTATTTTTTTAAATCAAAGTACACCTTTTTCTTGTTTTTAAACTTTTTTCTCCACAACTTTTAGAACATAAACTCCAATCTGTCCATTCTGACCAAGATGGACATTTTTGTGTATTACACAATAAATGTTCTATTTTTGGGCCTTTACATTCCTCTGAATTTTGATTATTTTTAGACATTAAGCATTCACGACGGCGAATCTAATAATTGAAAAAAACAAAATTTAAATTACCTATTTAAATTATACCTTCTCCCCTCCTCCACACTTTTTGGAGCAAGATGTCCTTTAAGTATTATTTATAGTTTTTAACAACAAATTTTCTTTATCAAGTTACCATTCTCCCCAATTACCCCAAATTGGACAATCTTTGTTTGTTGGAGATTCACAATTTCTTTGTTCAAAAGCTAATCCTTCACATTCAATTAATTCATTATTTCCCCCTCCATTTTTATTTATTATACAATCACGTTTTCCTTTAAATATAGATTTTTGGGTAAAGGTTATTGGTCTCTTTCTAATGCGAATTCGTTTTAGTCGATTCGGATCTGAGATTATAATCACCACAACAATTACTTAATGATAAAGGCAAAAACAAAAAACCTTTTTTTCCTTGGAGACCAGAAAACTTTACCAATTTTTATTTAAAATTATTTTTAAACTTTGTTGTATTCCAGCCCCACTGCAACTACTTGACATTAAAGAACATTGCCCCCATTCTCCCCAATTTGACCACTAAATTAATTTTTTAAATTTATAATTATTATTTCTTTTAAAAACCGAAGGACATAAATTTTCTCCACACGGTCTAAAATCTGTATAAGGTCCAATACATTTATTATCACCACTTTTACATTCCTAAATAATTTTTAAAAAATAATTTCCTTTATTATATTTTCTTGCCCTATAACGAATTCTTTTTCCATTCCCTCCACATTTAACAGAACATCTTAAATTATTTTATTTAAAATTTTAATTTAAAAAATTTTTTTATGCTTTGTCCATTCTGTCCAATCTTTCCATTGATAATTACAAGAAGGCATTGAACATTGCTGAATTTTTGTATCTTCCCCTTTTTTTATTTATTAATTTTAACTAATTATTTACGGAAAAACCTTTACAATCCCCACTTTTCCCACTAGAACAATATCTCCTCAATTTTTTTGTTCCATTTCCACAACTAACAGAACATAAACTTTCTTCTGTCCATTCCATCCATTGAGGTTGTGGAGCACAAGGATCATTACTTTTTAAAGCTGGACAAGGAGGATTTTGTTGATTTTTTTGAAATTGTAGACGGCAATAGCCTCCTTTTATTTTTTTTTTTGAATTTATCCCCTTTCCATTCCTTTCCCCTAACCTCTACATCTTTGCCCCCAAAGTCCTCTAGAAACAATTAATGGCTGGATAGGCTTCTCAGCCTCAACTTTTCCATTTTTATCTATTTCAATATATGGATCATCTGCCAATTTTATTCCTTCTGACACTTAATATTTTTTTGTTAAAACATATTAAATTAATTTAATGTCAGCTCTCTTTAGCAGCGACACTAGAAAACTAAAATGGAAAGTCGCCTATAACGGGATCGTCAATAATTAGTCAATATCCTTGAATTAGTAAACCTTGCCAGTGGATAAGATAAAACGTTTTAAATATTTTTTCTTAAAAAGTCGCTAATAACGAATGCCGACTTTTTACAAATTAATTACCAAAATTATTAAAATTTTCTTTATCCATTTCTTCACTTCTTTCCTTTTGTTCACTTAATTTTTCTTTATTTAATTTAATTTCAGACGGAATTGAAAATAATAATTCCCTTCTAGAAAGGCTTATAGATTTTAATAAATCAAAATTTTCTTCAAATATTTTTTGAAGACAAGGAGGGTCTTTTAATTCCAATATAGTATATTTTTCTTTTTCAATTTTTGATGATTGGTAATTTAGGGAAAATGAAGAAAAATATTGTGTAAGACTTTGGCCATAAAACTGACATAATTGTTTGCCCTTAGAAAAAAAGATTTTTGAAAATGCCTGAGGCAATCTAATTTAAATTTTTCAAATAAATTTTCGAACATTTTTTACAACAAATAAAACACTTTTGCACATTTCCCAATCATCTATACAACGTTCTGTACATTCTAAAATTCCATTTTTTGTTTCAATACGTTGGTAAAATAAAGGGAAATTTTCTGGCAATTTTATTAAAAAATGTTCACAAATTGTTTTTTCAGTTTTTAAAAAATAAATATTTTGTAAAAAATAAAAGAAAAATAAAAATGGTTGGGAAACTAACATTTTGGATTAATTTAAATTTATTTTGGTTTATGGACTAATTTTAGGGGGAAAATTTTTGGGAAAGAAATAACTTTAAAATTAAAGAATTTAAAATATTATTGGCTAAAAATGATCATTAAATCAGCGAAAGCAAAGCTACTTGTGTTTATTGCTTCTTTATGTAAAAGAACTTGCGTTCAAGTGTATCCATATTACTCAATGATATATCTAGTAAATAATTATTAAATAGTAATTAAATTAATATGTATAGAAAGATAGGTAAATTAATAAATTTATATCTAAAGTTTTGAATTTTAATAAAGAATACCCCCAAATAATAATTTTTGTTGTTACATTATTTATCTGGCATTTATTTACATATCACATTCCATATCACTTCCAACAAAAAATGTTCAGTTTATTGCAGTTTTTATTGTATGTACTACATACTATCCAAGATCTACTGGTCATTTAGTCTAAATTACTAGTTTGTGTATAAAAAAATGAATGGTCCTAAATCAGCTTGGCCGACCCTATGATTTTTCAATTTTTGCGAGTCCGTATCTCGGCCAAAAGTTAAGACTGGGGGTTG